CGTTGGTGCAAGACTGGATGGGCTGCTTGCACCCCCTGCGATAATACGAAATAAAATAAATCCGGAAGGATCCCTAGGACTCCAAGGGTTACATACACACACACACACACACACACACACACGCAAGTGTCTCTCCTGAACGACGACAAAAAGGGTCTGAAATGGGCATGTTTCCTGCCACAGAGGTCTGCGGTCAACGGCAAGTTGCCACAGTTCTGTCATTTGTCTTGCTCATAGTATTATCGCTTAAGAACACAAAAGACCATTGACAGGAAGACCAACGGCCCTAACTCTGCAGAGCCCAAACATATTATCAAATCATATCAATTCTATGCTGGCATGTTTGCAGACTGATCGAACATCAATAATCAACCTGTCAGAGCCCAACATCCGATTGACAAGTCTGACAGGCTCCCAGTCCCATGGGTGTTCGATTTCTTGTGGCATGAGCATCCTCCTTGGTGTGGGCGGACTGCATCGAAAAAGAGAAGCCACTTCTGAGCGGGTGCCCAATGGCCCAATGTCATCGAAATCAGTGGGCCCTGGACCCTGGCCCAAAGAGCAGTATCTGTGTATGTTCATCATGAGTCTTCAAAGCTTTCTCATCGAACACCTAGACGTCTGATCAATCAACTCCACTACACTTGCAAAACGAGATGTGAGCTCGCAGTTTAGCTGGCAACTGGTTCCCAAAACAAAACAAACCACATAACAAACTATATAGACCCCCCCCGCCCCCCAAAAAAAAATAAAACTTCGAAACCCTGGCAACAAGAGCCTCCAGTACCGGCTCAAACTGTCCCAATAAACGTCTGAGGGTTCCAGCCCAGAGTTGGTCCGCGAGCGAGTGGAAGCAGCTCTGCGTGGACTGCAGCGTCGGGAAATGAGAAAACAGGTCGAAGAAGCGTCTTGAAACCCTTGTGCCTCAAGGAAAGCTGTGTATTTTTGGCAATATCTTGGATCGCAATCTTTTGCCTATGCCATAAGCTCCTGATCCTACAAGGCACATATGACCCACGGTCAAGATGCTTTACATGGCCTCTTCTCACTGTTGGCTCGTTTTACTGTCTTTGGCATGTTCGAATGCCACTGCCAGCGAGCCCTTGGACCAGTCTTCGGACGTTTCCCGAGGCATCCCCCATGGAATGCCTCCAACTCGGTCATTATCGTCCTGTGATCGTTCCAGTTATCGCTCGTTCAGAACGCTCTAAGAACGGATATAGTTACAATTCAGGAAATAGCAAGTCACAAACCTATATATTATATAATATATATAGTCCCTTTTTTGTGACAGCCCCCCTATCGTTCGACAGGCTTTTGAGCACTTCCACAAAATCAAGGGGACATCCAAAAGGAGCTGCCTTTTCAATCATTTTGAGTGTGCCTCACATGCCGACCGTGCTCTCCCCCAAGTGCCGAACCAAGACCGACAACCACGACAAACTCCGCACGACAAAAAACACCCCGCGCGCGCGCCGCGAGGGTTGTGATGGCGCAAGAACCAACACTATGTGTTTAGTAGCTTATTGTTACTAGTAAGAATGCTGATAGTAGCGAGGCCAGGAGCCCCTAAGCTCCTAGTAGCTTCTTGTTCCTAGTAGTACGGCCAGGAGCCCCTAGTAGCGTCCTTGCTCCTAGTAGCGATGCCAGGAGCCCCTAGTAGCTTCTTGTTCCCATGAACTAACAGTCTGGTGTGCATTTTGGAAACCACATGTTCTCAAGTTCTCAAATTCCAAGAAATCGAACCCACGGATCAACTGATGTCCAGGCGACTATCCATTCGAAGCAACATCATCGCTGTCCCCCACGCTTGAGTGCCTTGAACGCAACAAAACGTCTGGGCAGTCTCCAACCAGCAATGTATTTGAGACCATGCAGCACAAATGTTGAGCTCAGGCCCTCTACAATCTCAAATCACAGGCTTCACAATGGACACACTTTGGAAGCCCCACAACATCCAGCAACGATCATTGCCTCTTCTGCTGCGGGAAAAATCAAATCTCACATAACTGTTGAGAACCCGCCGAACACTGGCTAGTTCCGTAGTTTGGGATTTTCTCCAACTGTCAATGACCACTGATATGATATCACATCAAATCACAAAATCTTTGTCCAAGAAGCGGAGACAGCCGCAAGTTGGACTCCGACTTGGAACTCAGAATCCCCCGCAAGGCCCTCAGAATTCAGAGACCCAACCCGGTCATCCGATGGAGCCGTTTTTGGGAGAGCAACCATTCGTCACCCAAAGTCCACCTTGGACCAAAGGAGTTTTAGGGATCCAGGGATTCACTGATGGCACATGCCCGGCAAACAGAGTACTAAAATGTTTTGCAAGGCATTTCTGTCAAAAAAAGAAGCTCTATTGATCTCTAGAGAATGGGATGCCCAACCTTGGCTCTCTCTATGACATGCCAAGCCATGCCAAACCACGTAAAGCCAACCATGAAATGAGGTGACCAGTGGATAAAGCTGGAAGATTGTTTATGAAATGACAATCCACCTGGCCTTAATGCAATATTAATATAGAGCCAAAGAGGCTAGGACTATAAAGAGTTAAAAAACAAAAAAAAAAAAACTCATTCCATCAGAAGAAAGACACAAAGTCGGATGCTTTGGAAATCCATTTGGATGATTGGAGTGTGGGTAGGATTGGGCACAGTAGGTCACATGGTAGGTGGATGGCAGAGGCGAGGGGTGTGCAGCTTCTTTAAAATGTCTTGTCTTGTATGCCTTTAGATTGCCTTGGAGTGATGCTTTGGCGTAGTTATTCTTTTCTACGTGGATAGGCTTGGGTATAGGTAATGGTCGGTGGATCAATGACAGGTTTGCTGCTTCGAGATCTATGAAATGACAACCGTGTTACAACAAAGTGGGATTCCAAGAGAACATCCTCAGAATGCGACGTGTTTTTCCTACCAGTTGTGATTCCACGTCGCAGGCATGTTCAAGCCATGCCAGACCAGCTTCTCTATCAGATTACATTCCAAATGTCTTATCTTCAATGACCTAGGATGACCTATTTCACCTACTAGGTGAATGACAACCCCACAGAATGCCATGTTCAGGCTTTGGCTTTTTTCGTCCACAGTGCCCTCACCCCAAAAAGAGGGTCCATGAATTACACTTTATAGATGTCAAAACTCGGCACTGTATCGGACACTATTTGCCAGGTATGATGGGACTGGGCCACGGTCTCCCAGCAGGCCGTCAAGACATGCTGGCCAAGGCACTGCATTGGAAGTCTTCTGATTTCAACATAAGCATTGTACTACTGTAACGCACACACACAGATATATATATATATATACCACATCAAGCAACAAAAGAAGCACCTGTCCAACTCTCAGCCAAGAGACATCTTCCCCAGTGCTGGATCATGAACTCCCAAAGAGTAAGCTACCCTGGGGCGGGCCGGGCCGGGTCTGACAAGTGCCCCCACCAGGAACTCTTCAAGGCCCAATTGAAGGACCTTGAAGAACCCAACCAGGGTGGGAGATGGGATGTACATGCTCCAAAGAAGCAATGGTCTCCTACCTATTAGCGATGACCTCCAACCTAATAGCGATGGCCTCCAACCTAAGAATATCCGAGAATCCAGTGGCAAAATCTATTGATGAAATCGTTCAGTGTCCATTGGGCAAGAAATGGCAAGAACGTCCAGGATGCATGCCAAAGCTATTAGAACAGTGCAGGGACACTCCACCAGGCAATTTGAAGAACAAAGAGTTTATCATTCACAGGTGCCCGTCATACAAACTGTTTCTGTGTAGTATGATATATGTATATGTGTGTGGCTGCACGTTGCCACAAGCTCGTACGCACAACTGCTCCTTTCAACACGATAAAGTACGTGGCAAACGCCATCGACCGGGTGCTAAACCCCAAAAGCTTATCCATCGTTCTACAAAGGCGCCTTGCAGCCCCAGTCGTAGAGAAATTGCTCGGCCCCAACACAATCTGAGCCATACCAAGCTTCAGCAGGAAAGCTGGAATCCTTTTATGCATGCGTGCAGACTCAACTTCTGAGCGGATCAAGCGCGTTCATCCGAGCGCGCCCCATACCTTTTTCCTTTCTTCTGCGATCCCAGGCGGTGCATGGCTATGGCTACGCAAAGCTCCTTAGCCATCGAGTGCCTGAAAACCTGCTCACAGGGACCAGCTCACAGGGCACTTGAGACCTCAGTCCAGTCAGCCGGGGGCCCGGCTTGCATCAATTTCCGGCCATACCGCAAGTCGGTTCGGAAGAAATACAGCACCTTTATACGAAAATGCATTCACCAAGACCAACTCTCTGCCACGAGCTTTGATGAGTCTCTTTCAGGCCGGGTCCCGATTGGAATTCTCAATTTTGTGATATCTTGTGTATATAATGAGTAACTGGCACACTGATGCATTCTGTACTTAGACTGAGGCACCCGGCACATGTCGACAGGTCCAGGTGTTCGCGCAAAGACGGCACGAGACCTTGTGCAACCAAACGTACATCCAAGAGTTAGTCCGGAGTGCATTCTCTAGGTCACGTGGACAAGTCTTGATAGGTTGAAATCTCCACAGTCAAGGCATAGACTTTAATTAGATTGTAGACGTGTTCCCTCAGGCAGCGCCTGTGCAACTCATTGAGCTCCGATTGAAGGACACTTGCCAGATCTATCTTGCATTTCGCCGGCAATAAACGTCTTCCCGTGCAGTATTGAACTCCAACAGCCCCAGCCCTTGCGTTACTTGAAAGCGGCATCCTCAATGGTTGCCATCGTTCTGTATTGGACCTGCTAACGCAAGGACGGGCTGGGTTTTAAAAAATGCCCAGAAATGGGAGTTCCACGTCGGCGAGGCTGGGAGTAATTAAGTAGACTAGACATCGTTGTGGCTTTGCCACATCCCTATCTCAGTAACTGGGCTTAGACAAGATGCCAATCTGGCGGCCCTCTGTTTCGCATGTCCATGAAGTGAAACCCGTGTGTCAACTGTTTCACATGTCCACTTATCAACAGTTCGGGCCGAGCAGCCTGGGTGGCACCTCTCGCCTTAAAGATTTCGCAATCGTCTTTGACCCCATCAGGGGCCAGGGTGTGAAACGAAGTCGGTTCGCTAGCTCACTTTGCTAGCTCAACTTCCTTGGCTCTCCCAAGGTGGGATCTGATCCCAAAATATCCCAAATGCGTGCACTAAAAACGATGGACAACATGGGGGAATACAATCAGTGGGGCAACCCGACATGCCGTGTACAAGCAAACAGGCAAAATAAATACACATGCAGCATCATGGCGCACATCAGCCTGTTCATCCTCTTAAATGTAACTCTCCCCAAGCACCTTCCTGGCACCGCCCCATGTTTTCTCCGCACCGCCCCCTTTTGAACCTCCCACGCGCCGCGCGCGTTCTCGCAGCATCACCATCTGGTGAAGCAGCAGCCGCGCGCGAGGCCGTCCGGAAGAGGCTGCAACAGCCCACCCGTCCTCACCCGTGTCAACTTCAACAGGTTTCTGCACAGCAAGCGATCAAGCAACACATGCCCCTTTGTTCAGACCTCAGATGTCGGGCACGACCCCCCCCAAGAAAAAGAAGGAGAAACATGATCCGTCATTCCGTTTTTGGTGGCGAAGCAATCAATTTGGCAGCTCGGTAATGGTTTTCACGCTGGCTGTCACTTCTATTGCCTTCCCACCTCCTTTGATGTTTCTGTGGCTTGTCTGGCAACACAGTGGCGAGTAGGCTGCAACTGACCCAGGATGCTTCCGGTGTATTTTTAATATCGCAGCTGTGTGAATGAAACAATCCCAATAATACTAGCCGTCAATGGGATTATCATTCCCAAATTTGGATGAAGAATGCTCAAACCAATGTTCATCTCCCAAGCTTCCTGCACTTTTGGGCGCTTAGCCGCCTTCATTCCCATTCATTCCCTAAATGGTGAAGTGCATCACAGGCGTTTTTGGTCGGCTCAACACCTGACAAAGGGCCCTGCGGTATTGCATTGATAATCATAATGCGTAAACGCATGATGAATGTGGCCCCTGTTGAAACTCATTTAAGCGTTGTGGACTCATGTGGGCTCCATATAGAAGCAATTCGGCAGTTGACACAAAGCTCCCCGTGCCTGTTGTTCCTATGAGATTGGATGGGGTTGGTGATTTGACCTATGTTGCCTCACATGTGGCAGTTCCATAGCTTCCATATTGGTAGAAATAACCATGCGAGCAAACAATCGAGCAAACAAACACCCTATGGGCCGATTGCAGACCAGGAACATCTCCCAGCACAGCCCCCCTTGTTCATAGCGCGCGTTTGGCACTCGCCGAAGCAAGCTAGGACACCAGAAGGCGCCACAGCAATAGACTGCGACGTTCCACCACAAAGAACCTGGAAGCATTCTGCGTTGGTACCCAAAAGCCATTAGGAACAAAGGGCATCGCTACTAGGAGCAAGGATGCTACTAGTAGCTCCTGGCCTTACTACTAGGAGCAAGAAGCTACTAGGAGCAAGCCCATCAGTCAAGTTTTGATGTGCAAGGACTCGGTGACTGACACACAGCAGCCACACGTTCGGTAACACCTGCTCCATTGACACACAGCCGCGCACTCCTGAGGGTACTATGCGAATCTATGCAATACTTTTCGCATCCAACCTTCCTGCTACTAAGAAGGACACATGCGCCTTGCTAAGAAGGACACATGCGGAAAAGTCATTACAAAGGGAAACGAGTCGAGGTCTACCAAAACCTGCGCTGCATGTGTTCGCCCAACTGCGTTCCAAGCAGCGCGCAAAGGGAGATCCACGCTCCGAACGCAAGGACTTCCTCGGCAAATCGCATGCATCAGGAGCTTTCATACACGGTGTGCAAACTTTCGACTGGAGATCCCGACCAAGTTGTAAAAGACCTGGAACAGTCAGGGTTATTATAGTGGAAGATCCCATGTCTGCTTGGGGGCGAAGTGTCGGAACTGTCAACTGATCAAATCAGGCGCACACTTACGGCACATATACACTCCTCCACCAACACTAGCACTGGCATCCTTTTTTCTGGGCCATCGACCTTCTTGAGGGATACCAGAATTTTGGTGAAATCAAGGGATTGCTGCAAGTATCAAATAGGTAATTTGCCGCCAAGAAATGTGCTCCCATGTTGTGAGGTTGGCCAAGACCAGAAAGCTGTGGAAGAACAGTAAGCAGCTGACCTCTGCAATTCGCTCGCTTCACTTTCTGATGTGGTTGGAAAGCGAAGCCGGAAAATGCAGGATTCCAGGAGGTTCAAAACCGATAGAGAAGAATGAAATGACTCACAACTTACTTTTTGGTGCATTGAAAAAAATCTCATATGCAATCCTAAGCCCGGTGCCATGAGAAAGAAAATCGCAATAAACAATAGGCCCACCATGAGTACCACGCTGGGTTGCAAGAGAGAAATCCCTTGGATGCCCTCCGTGAAGAAAACACCAAGCTCCACACACTGAAGGAGCAAATACCAAAAGAAGAGCGCTCGATTGTTCTCTCCTGACGACTCCAATGCTGCTCAAAAGATTCAAACCATGCTTTGGACGGATCCCGCCTACACAACTGCCAACCCAAGGGCAGTGATGATCATGTGTCCGGACACATCGGCCACAGTCATAGCAGTGCTTTGTTCGCAAGGGCTGCTGCAAGCGACAACGTTTGCAAAAGCGAAGCTCCACACCTGACCAGAAATTGTTTACATACTAGCAAGAAGCTACCAAGATCATTCACCGTCATCTCACGGCCTCCCAAACGCGTGCCTAAGTAGGGGCATGATGAAGCTTGTGAAGGGGAAAATATGCGGCAGGCCAAATATAGTCATTCTGAAAACTCTTGCGCAGTGCAGCTCCGCTCACGTGAATTTGAAAACGCATCCGAATCACAATCAACCACCCAAAAACGGAGCGCGCCTTCGGCGCCTTCAACGTTTCCATCGTTGTCGGCATCTGGTGCACCACGTCTTTTAATGCCTTCATCCATTTTCCCCGTCTCAGGGTCTCCCTGGTCCATCTCCAAGTTGCTCGCACCCAGAAGTGCAGGATTCTCCGGGCTCACGATCGTGGGATTGGACACCTTCTCATTGGAGTCCCGCATGCACAGTGCACAAAGCAGGAGCAAGCAGCTGCCACAACCACGTGACTCGCTGTCGAGGAAGCCAGGATTTGTGCATGAGGTTCCGATGTACAAAGCTAGCGTGGTGAAAACCAACAGTCGCACACTGCGATACCAAAGGGTGGTCTCTTGCCACAACTCACGCCTGTGATACGCAACATCGGCAACGATTAGAGCATGAACCAGCAAAACCAAGACTGGCGAAAGCACCCTCTCTGTGCAGAGTGTGTTACAACAAAAAGCTCGGGCTTGTCGCGCCAAGGATGGTGCCATGGTCTCAAGCCCGTGCTTGCAGCATGGAACTCCCAGCAGGCTTCTACGGCATGGCAGCGGGCTGGGGGTGAAAGCATGGCATCACTACATGCAGTTCCTTGAACCCTCTGCGAGTTTGCCCCGTGCTTCTCAAAAGGCTCAAGGTTCAACCATAAGTTTGATCGTTCAAGAAATAGACATTATAGTACATAATAATACATATAATATAGACAGACACAAAATATGATGTAAATTATAATGTAGTAGTACATATAGTGAAAAAATCAAAAAAGATTGTCATGCACCCGGCAATTGGTGGGACGAAGGCCATGACTTTAGAACATTGACACACACACACACACACACACACACACGCCCATCATAATAAAGTGCACACAAAGCAACAGGACAAACAGAACCTCTCTGGAACATAAGGCTGATCAACCAGAGCTTCAAACAGTCAGGAAGACCCGCTGCCGTTGCTGCCTGAGTTGCTCCCAGATCTTAGCTAGAAAATCGTCGGTCGTGTTCATGAACTCCACCTGCTTCTTGGCCATCCTTGCTTGCGTTGGTCTTGGATGGGCGGCCAGGCACGAAGTCATGATGGGTTGTCACTATATGGATTTCATGGGGAATTGAATAGCTGACCCCTTCACCCCATAGGTTCTCAGATTTGGTGGTGTAGCCTGCCCATTATAATCATATATAATCATCCATGTCTGCCTAAAATCATTGATCCATCAACTACATGTAGTTTAAGTGTTGTTACGCGTTGTTACAAGTACAGTTAAATCACCGTCCAAATCCATGTGGCCAAAATAATCGACGCAGACTCCAAATGGCCTTTCCTTTCTTGTTTTCTTGCGGGCAAACTTTTGGGACTCTTCTTTCTCTCATGCCTGTGACCGCCTGATCATTCCCTTTGCAGACCGTGCGCCAGGCGGTTCTTCTACAGTAGTTCGAGTTTGAGTTCGGGTTTGAGCTGGAGGCTGCGCGCATGGGAGAGGGAGGTGTTCGAGTTCGAGTTCGAAGTGGAGGCTGCAGGAGAGGGGGGGGAGTGAAGCCCTAAGCCAAGCCGTAGCCCATCCCAACAAACCTCGTCCATTGTGAACCGAGCCCGGCACAGTTGGCGTGACTCTGAGCAAGTGGCATGAAAAGAGGTAAAATGGGAGATGAGAAGGAGGGACCACAGCAAACCAGAACAACGAGCCACAAAAAGCTACTGCGAAGCCGAACGCTTGCGAGCTTGGATCTGTGCCTTCAGGTGAAGTAGCATACGAACCGTGTCTTCTGGCTTACATGGTGGAACATCAGCACATGAGATAGGAATGTTCCCTTGGCAGCGAAATGTGTCGGGGAAATGTCTGATTCCTAAATAAGAAACCTACGAACCCACAGCAAGAAGCCAAAGGAACTTCATAAAGATCTCTAAAGCAGTGAAACCCTACGCCAGAGCCAAAGAATCTCTAAAGAAGTCAAGCCGTAAGCCAAGACTAGCGATAGCGATACCTGAACAACCCGAACAATACTCACCTCACCTACTCCTCCAACCCAAGAGCGTCCTTGCTCCTAGTAACTAGTAGCGATGCCCATTGTTCCTAGTAGTAAGGCCGGAGCCCCTAGTAGCTTAGTAGCGTCCTTGCTTCCAGGGGCAAACGTTCAACGTTTCGAGTTCGAGGCCTTCGAGTGGGGGGCACATCGGTTGTCGCATCCCTTTGAATCCGGCGGCTTCAGGTGCACAGACTCTCCCCTGAATGGTCAAGGCAGACTTACGACTGTCACAAGGGATTGACTCAGGAGCTTGCGAGTGTTTCTTTCTCAGCAAGCGACAAGCCCGTTTGCGTGACAAACAAACTGCTAGCCAGGTGCTTTTCTTGGGGTGCTTCTGGAAGACACATGAAGAAACCCCCAAAAAAAGACGGGAGAAAAAGCATGAGAAAGCTGACTCGGAACCACCCACCAGACTTGTGCACCAGTCCGGTGGGTGGATGTGATGACTGGGTGTATCCCAATTCCGGCCCAGTGGATGATGATGATGATGATGATGATTAGGTTGCAGCCCTTTCTCAAAACAATGCAAAACAATTCAAAACATAGTGACTTAGTGATAATCTTTTGTCGACTGTTATGGGTCATGGGTCAGGATCAAGGTCAGGATCAAGGTCAGGTCGGTCAGGTCTCGATCTGCTGGGTGTTGAACGACACTCAACTTATTGTACTCCAATGGAGCTTTTATCCAGCAACCTTTAGGATGTTGAAACGATGTATTAAACATATAGCTGAAAGCAACTGCAAATACATACTCTGCCGGGCTCCTGTTGACTCATGGGTGGTTCATGCTCGTTCCAATGCAAACCTCACTCAAATAAACGGCATTCATAGTTTGCTGTCTATGCCTGCTTGGCCCTGGCAGAAAATGACAAAAGCCTGTTATAAATATATATATATATTCTTGCTAACTGCAGAAACTTCAGCCTTTTTTGGGACTGGCATTTATGTTCACCAGTGGAGGTTCTAGGTATGCGTGAAATTGGCAGGGCCTGAGGTAGATGGCGAAAAAAGCACCCATGTGCCCCTAGTTCACTTGACGAGTTGGGCCGAAACTGAAGAAACCTGAATCGATGCGCCTCTTGTGCCTAGTTGCGACTGAGACTGATGCATCAACTTGGCCAGGTCAAGCGATCTCGCAAAGCCTTTCAGCCTCTGGCAGCCTTCAAAGAAGGTCTCCTGAGAGAATGCATGTTCGCCGCTGAATGAGCAAGCCCGGATCCGAGGCGGAACGAGCAAAGCGAGTTTCACAAGTGGTTCTCACTGGGCGCAAAGAACCCTTTCAGCATCTCATGAACCTTCGCAAGAGCTGACAACGAAAAATAGCAGGTGCGTTTGATGCTGGAGGATTGAATGTTACACTGGCCGTTTGCACAAGAGCAAGCAAGAGCTATCAGCGATCCCCCATCGACTCTGGCAAAGCTCTGGAGAGATTTCCGCTTCCAGGTCTGAGTCGAGGAGTTTGAAGAAGGACCACACGTCAGTAATGGAGAGCTCCATGGAAGCCTCAGCTGAAGAGCTCCATGGGTTCAGGAAGTTGCACATGGGTCTTGCTCCTTCAAGAGGCCTCCCCGTCAAGAATCACAGGCACCCATTTAAAAGCCAAATGGGGTTGCTTTGACAATCTATACAAACGCATGTTTCTACAAACCATACCCATATTATTATTATAGTCTAGTCATACCATTTTTTGCAGCGGCACTATTACAGTAATGTCTTCAAACACCCTTTCACATCTTTCACAAGAAATCAAAGTCTTTTCAAAGGGTACCCCTTTAGGAACGCCAAGAACTTGCAATTTAAACGTTCCTTTCAACCCCAGCTGCCGATATACTAGGCGGCAAAAAAACCCTTAGGGTGGTTACTACAGTACAAAAAAAACAATAATCATTCTCAAATATTGTCAAACTATGTATATATATATATTGCTTAACTTCCTCCTTAACTCAATAAAAAGTTATCTAAGAAATTCTAAGAAATATGGAAAGCCTTTACATGTCCCTTTCGACTCCTTTCACTCGCCTTTCGATTCTATCCAAGTTTAAGGTCCGAGGCCCCAGGATTTACGGCGAAGAAACGGCTGTCGACAATCTCCGCAAAATATCGCCGTAGGGGAGGGGATGGTCTATTTATAGTGTCAAAATTACATATGAGAGCCCTAACTCCGAAGTTTCCGAAGCGTCTGTGAGGAAAGTGAGCTTTCTTGATTGGACTTTTGTGCAAGACAGCTGGATACCATGAAATGTCAAGTCGCAAAGTAGGCCTGGACTGCCGGATCACCCAAATGCTCCTGTGTCCGGGACACATGCACCAGCCAAATGGTGTCATCTAGTCATGATGGGCCCAATCCACACTAAGCAAAAAGTATGAAAACAGTGACTGCAATCCGGTTCTCAATTCTGAACTCCCTCACCCCCGTTTCCGGCAAAATGGCCTCCAATTCGGCCAAGGTTAAACTTCCGGACCTCGGAAAGTGTTCGCAAAGTGCCCGTCGACGTTTCCTCAGCGGCCTGAAAGCATATTCGCACCACGCGCGTTTGACCAAGAGCTGGGCCCATCATTGTCAAGCCTTGAAAGATAAATCAATTCGGCACGGTCTTTCAACAACTCAATCAGCGATACTAATTTCAACCTGCCTGGAAAAAAGGTCCTTGATCCGCTTCAAGTGCTCCTTAGCAAAATGAGCAATGTAAGGATGAATGCTATTACTGGGATGAATTATGCCAGCATAGACCCCAAACCGTTTCAGCAATATTCTGGCGTCAATTGGTAACGTCTGTATTGGGAATGGCATGTAAACTTACAAAAATGTTCGAAAACAATACTAGTAGTAAGGATGCTCCTAGTACGTACGGCCAGGAGCCCCGTTCGTAGCGTCCTTATAGTTCCTGACTCCCGGGGTCACATGACGGGATATATGTCATGACGTTGTCATGAAAAAGTCCAAGGATGATATCAAACGCTGCATCACTGCCGCGTTCAATAGCCACAAGAAAACATACCCGGATAAGGCGGTGGAAAAAGGGAAAGCGCCGTGGCCAAGCAGGGGGTAAGGCCGGGACAAGGCGGTGATACAAGGGCTGACAACGTCGTGGACAAGCAGGACGGACAAACCCGGACAAGCCCTGGACAAAGCCCTCACAAGCAAGGCGGGGCGGCCAACAGACCTGCGGTGCCCGCACACACACACAGACCCAAACAAGGCTTGGACAAGGACCACGCGAGGCCACTTGGGTAACAAAAGGAGGACGCGGGGTTTGCCAGCACAACAGGAGGACGCCAAGAAGACAAAAGGAGGACACAGGGGCTAGGCTAGGACACAGGGTTCGCGAGCCCGGCTAAAGGACAGCAGGAGGACAACTCCAACAAGAGGAGGACAGGGTTTGCCAGCGTGTCTAAGGGAAAGCAGGAGGACACTGAGGACACCAGGACAAAAGGAGGACACAGGGTTTGGAAGCGTTGCCAGATTCTGTGGCCAGTGTCTTTTAGTCCTAAGTGAGAATCCCACGATAACCCCACAGTACACTGCTTGGGGAAAAAGCACATGTCCAAAAGAGTAGACCTCCAGTCAGACTCTGTTTCTACAGCCCAGCTCTCTTCTGACCAAACCCCAAAAATCAAACGCAGCTCTCTTTCAATTCAAACCATGCTCATGAGTTCAGAAACATGTCCTATTTGTGCTCTGCAAGTTGCATCTCGCTCGACCAGCATGTTTTGCAAGAATAGATCGGTGTCGTGCTGCGCGGACTTGATGGCACTTTGGCAGAAAACACCTGCGTCGGATGTCACTGTCGGTCACCCGGAGCCCCTGGGACAACACCAGGGTAGGTTGGCCATGTCTGGTAGTCTATTCTGTTCATTCGCCAGGTGGGAAAAACCAGGGCCATGACCCACAGCCATATATGTGATGTGCGTAGACGGCAGAAGACGTGCCACGTCCTTCTTTTCGGATCGTGCACGGAACGGAGGGGACATCGCAATGACCCCCCACCGCCGCAAAGTAGCAGAGCGCAACAAAATGCCAGAACATTGCACGCCCCATCCGAACCTGTCATCACATTCAAAACCTGCAAGAAAAGTTGCTGGCTCGTGGTGACAATCGTAAGTTCAGCATAGTTCAGCTGCCCTCAAAAAACAAGTGCTTTCAAGCCGGACGAATTATGCAGATTTTACAGCGACAAGAAGCAGCGAAGACCGTGAAGCCCACGTATGTAATAAATAGAAGCCACCAAAGAAACGAGATCCTCAGCGGAGCCGCCAGGGACGAAAACACATGAAAACACCACAAATCATCTACTTGAACATCTCAAGAATTATTTTGTGAATGACGCATGTAGGAATAGTAAGGGGTTAAAGGACAAGCAAGAATGCATTTCTAGATAATTTTAATTTAGATCCTCAGTCAAGAGATGTCAAAAACAACTTTGAAGTTGAAGCCTATGCCAATATGGGATGCAAAGAAGATAAATTAATGAAACAGGAATCAAAGACTAAGACCACACAAAAGCAACATGAGAAGCCCAGGGCCTACTTCGAATGGGAACATGTACCACCACCCTCTATATATGTTTATGTATACATATATATAATATAGATATTATATTTATATATATCTGTCACCCGTCACTGGTGCTCGATTGGCTATAGATTTATATAGTTGCTTGAACGCACCTGCATTGCCAAATGAGCAACTATACAACACCATTTGGTACAATATGCCTCCCTGGACAGCATCCCAAAATGTGCACTGTCGCCCCCGGCGGCTTTCGAAGCTGCAGTTTTGCCCGCCCAGGCGCTTCAAGAGGGGGTCGGAGGCCACCTCCCATGAGATGCCGCCTCACAGGGCTGGACCCGACAAGACCAGACATGACGAGATGGTCTCTCAGTCTTTCGCAGCAAGGAAATGCTTTCGGAAAAGGCAGAAAAGGCAAGCCATGGATGCCATGGCAAGCCAACTGTCATTGAAGATCAGAAGTTCGGCAGCCCTGAATGAATCAATCGTTTGACTGAGAAAAGCTCCAAGTACAGCCGCCTGTCACGGCCATGAAGCACGTGGACATGGCTGAAGGGATGCCACCCCAATAATGTAGCAACTGGCACCACCGGCACAAGCGAAGGCAGGTTTGGAGTTTGGAGTTCGGACAAGTCCGAAAGCACCGTTGGAGATTGAATTCTATTGTTCCGTTGCAAGGCCGGCATCGCAGTGCAGATCTCAACATATCCCCATTTCCATGGCCAAAAATCACCCAGCCATGGCCTGCTCCATATCTCCACAGAAAAAGACAGCAAATGACTCGTCTAAAGCATGGCTGATTCACTCGACTCTCCGATGGGGCGGTTCTCAGCTCCTCCGCAACACCTCGCTGACGGGAAAGGGGACATGTCTGAAAAACGACGTGTGGAAACTCCACGACTGGGATTTGTCTACGAAGTCTCCAAAAATGATTCGCCTCTGCAAAGCTTGGGTACATTCTGCAAAGCTTGTAGCTATTATACTTGATACATACATCACATATATCATGCAATTATGATGTGTAATAATTATTGATGCCCTGTCGTGCGCCTGTTGTGCCCTCTTTGCGAGTCTGGATGTCCGAAGTTTTACATGTATTTTGGCCCGTTGAGCACCAGGTCTGGTTCTCGGATGCTCAAGCCAAGCAAACGACAATGAAGCCAACTCTGTGAGCTGTGCCACTGGTCCTCTTTCCCCGGCCTTGAGTAATGGCTAAAGAGAAGACGTACATGATGAGAAACAAAAATACCGCAGCCCAAACCACCTCCTTGAGCGTGTAGACTATCCTAGGAATCAAGAATGCTTCCAACGAATTGCGCTGCACATTTTGCTGCCGGGCATCGAGTGGATTAGAGTGCGCAAGGCCCGTAGGACTTTCATCGCTCCCCCCGTCGATGAGCCAGTGTTGCGGATCCTGAGATGTTCAAAGTGTCGATCCTCAAGAAATGGCCTCCTTTAGCCCCCTTTCACCGGAAAACAGGTTCATGATTCACGATATTTCATGATCAAAGTTTACTCCAGGCCATTTTTGACTGACTTTGGACATCCAAGGGTCAAGCGTGTGATCCGTAGAATCCGGACAATGCGCAAGGAGCTAATGACACCAATGCCTGCATTCATACTAAGGTCTGGCATCATGGCTTCCAAGACCTCAGCCACGCCCCATTCCAGTGCGATCAAGCGAAGTGGTCCTGTCCAGCACCTTCTCTGCGGACGAGCTGCAAGCACCAACACTTCCCACCTTAAAGCTTTGCTGCACGTGTGGACTAACTTGGAAGGACCAAACTAAGGGGCGCATTGTTGCATGCCACAACGTTTAGACCAGTGGCAGTGAGCACAGCACCACAAAAAGATCGAGAAGGTTCCATAAGTATTGCCTCAGATTGACTCGAAAGCCCGGCCTTTGTTCTTGCGAAACATGGGGTTGGGGGCCTGGGGCTTCGAAAGATATGGGGAACAATACAAGCCTGCACAAACCTTAGAGCCAATCTCAACCTATGTCCCACTACCGATGCATATATACAACATTATACAAGCATTGTTGATCAAGCCTCCTCCCACCCCCAATGAGGGATTCTGCCACAACTCCAAAGAATGAATGAGCATGCTCACTGAAAGCGAGCTGAAGCAACTGGACAAACACATGTACCGACTCCTACAATGCAACCAAGCGTCCTCCTCCAAAACATACCTTAGCGATGGACATCCCAACCGGGGTGTGAAGTTGAGAGTCAGGCGCAAACAAGCACTCTGATCAAACACGGTCCTGTTTCCCAGGCGTTCATACTGCATACTTATTTTTCATATTCTAGCTTCACTCAGTTTTACTTCGCCCTATTTTCCACACATTTTTTTGGCACTGTTTAAATCCAGCTTCATTTAGCTCAACATGAGGCAACACCTCAGTATACTTACTTCTTACTTTGCATATCTTCGTGTTGTGGACAAATCGTTGCCCTGAGGATGGTCAATGTGGCCATAAATTCAAGTAAGTCCCATATTACCATGACATACCATGACTGTCTTTTAGGTGCGGGTTTGATGGCTCGTTGAAGGTGCAACATATAGGTCAGTGGCCTGACTAGGTAGTACACAATTTTGACCAGTTGAGATCTGATGCCAACTCTGCCTGATTTGAATTTGAACCATGACCTCCACACGTGAAGAGTTCTGGATTCTTACCGCGGATCCGACGTGACACGATGTCAAGCCACTGCAGCCATCGACCACCAGTCGCAAAAGGAGCTCAAGAGCAAAGGCCAACGTGTAGGTGAGGCCGATGACCTGCACCAGCCGCTGCTCATCTCGGCTGCGTCTCTGGACCGCTCTCGGCTGTGTCGGCCGATGGAGAAGATGGAAAGGAGAAGGTCGACCATCAGTGACCATGACGTTCCAGTAAGCGTCGATTTGGACCGTCGATTTGGACGCTTTGTCACATTTTTTACATTAATGTCAATTATTATCAGTGTATCATCACTCATTTTTTGGAGACAAGATACAATATGCGTTAATGGACCAAAAAAGTAACTCATATATAATTTGTCCATGTTTGACAAATGTTGACAAGGTCTTCTGGGAAAGTCTAAAATCGTAGCGTAGTACCGCCGCCTGTTTTTACAAACTGTGTAGTGACTAGATGTGACTAGTGTCCGGTAGGACTTAACAAAACAACCCCACAAGTAGGACTTAACAACCTCTTCAGTCTGAAGAGCACCGTTCAAGAACGAAAGGCAAACCCTTGGCTAAGTGGGCTTACTTAGACATACTTAGGCCTCACAGCAAGAAAGATCTCTGACATCAAGATAATTCAAGATAGAAACAAGTGTTTGTTGTGAGGTTGTTGCATTTGTTGCTTGCTGGTCCTGGACGTCTTGACTAAACCCACCGTCACTTCTCACCTGCCTGGACTGCCCATGGCGGGCTGCCCATCTGAATCGAGAGCTCGATCTGGCCGGAACACCGCAGGGTCGAACCACACCGTCTGGCTGTAGGACCGTAGGGTCGGCAATGAGTTGCCGACTGCTCGTTGGAGCCCGAGTTGTCGTTTCGTCACAGCAAAGTGCCATATGGCATATTTGCAAGACTCCGGTTGCCAACATATCGCCAAAATTCAAATAGAATGTGTATATTATATAATGTGTTCATTCACTGAGCGTCTCGGGGGCTTCTCCCTACTCTGAGTGCAGTCATCGCATGCCTTTCCCACGAGCAACGGCGTAGTGAAAATGATGGCAATGCTGTTGAGAACATGATAAGAACATGTTCCGAACATGAAGAACATGTCGTTTTCACAAGGAACAGCGAGGAGGTTTGGTCAAAAAGCAGTGGAATCAAGGCCAAAAAATGTTGATTGATTTTGCAACAACATGCACGCAAGGAAAGCAGCATAGTACAGCGCTCAGTGTATGATGATGTGGAGAGTTCGCCGCTTTGTCTTTACCGTCTTTACCCTAATCTCAACGCATCGTCCGTGTGAAATCAGAGTGCCCTTTGGAGGAAACAAAGGCCTCGATGCCAATGAATACTGCATTGGTGATTATCAGAATTCCGGCGATGCTCTCAAATGTACCACCTTAGCACAAAAAGCCGTAGCTAGAAAGAAGAATGCAACCTCATGCGTGGCATCACGTAGCTGAGCTTCCCTGAGCACCGAACTACGCACCCAAGCCTTTAGCCGAGGAAAGCGGCGATCCGAGGTTGATATCTCTGATTGATTCCTCATCTGCCAAGTGCCAAGTGCCACTCAAAAAAAAAGAAACAAACATGCTAGAAGATCCATTGGAAAATAACATAGAACACTTCTATGGATCAGGATTGCTGCATATTGCTGCCACGTGTCCCGCTCATGGTTCTTCGAATCACTCGTCCCGTTCTCTTTTTCCTCTTGGCGACTTCATCTTGGGGATCATCAACACCTGCATGGCTTTGGCCCGAAGCCAGGCGCTGATTTGGTGAACTTGTTTCTCGCGAGCACACCAACATCGGCAACAATATTTCTTGGCCCTTATACTCCCCAACATAATCATGGAAGTGGAAAACCACCTGCTTGTAGAGGAAAACTGTCGTCCAAGAGACCATTTTTCCACTTCGATGATTATTTTCCGCAAGTGCAGTGTAGACCTTTGCTTGCGCAAGGAAATCAATGATCAAAGCTGCACATTGCCAACCAAGAGGCTGTAGTTCTGTCTGGCTTCACTTTGCTGACTCACCGCTCGAGATTCAGTGTCTGAAAACACACCCTCAATGGACGGCGAGAGCGTTGCACGATTGATGTGCTCCTCAGGTGCTTCAAACGAAGGCTCCTGACAGACTCTGCTCACAAATCACTGGCTACACACGAAAAACAATGTGCCACTGAGGTGATGAGATATAATTAGTGCGTTCATGGATTATGCATGGGTGCTGTACGCCAAAAGCTACCCCTTGTAGCCCACAAGAAGGTCCTGCAAATCTCCTTGAGGCGTGAGAGGCGTCGACTTTTGTGGCTTTCCAATGGTTGGCTTCCTCAGCAGGTGCCGACCCATGCTCCCAGCATGTGTGGCTCAGGTGAGCCATGCGAAGAATCACCAAAATGGGTCGTGCAATTCCATCAACTGTGGCTTGGAGGGGAACACATGGCAAATCATTGCTTTGTCTCGTTTTGCTGATGGCTTGGGAGGCTGACAAGTCAACCACCTCATTCTGCGCTGGAACTGCCTGCGAGGCATACGCACTGCAGCATTTGGTTTGAGTTTGAGGAGGTGAGACCTCAAAGCTCCAGCGGCCACTCGGCTATGGCATGTTCCAAATTGAAGCAAGGCCTGCATCTTCAAGGAAATGAGGCGCTCCATGTCAAAGCGGTGCCTGGATGAACACGCAGGTTCATGGACGAGCTATCCGATAGTCAGTTTACTGACAGTGGTGAGGTTCACCGTCCTCTATTGAAGGAGAAGGTCAAAGCTGAACATCCAAGGCAACCGGCCCCGATGCTGTCAGGGTTCAAGTACAGCATACCAGGATTCAACCACCCTTCCCGTTCCCTGCCGGCAGCCTTCTGACTATCCAAGTAAACCGAGTTGAGACCGGCTTTTGTAATTCCATGCGAGATGGAGTTCTTGACAGGACGGAGGCTCCAGCATCAAAGCAAATACTCTACAGTACTGGAAGCAACAACTGCTTAACAGGTGGTCAGCAGTGTTCCTGCTTAGCTTGTGGACTCCACAAGACATCTTTCCTGGAGACCTCTCGTCTTTCATGCGCACCATCAGTTGAAGAATATGCTTCGCTCTTTCAGCTGGTGCCTCACTCCTCCTTACAAGTCCTATGTTTCACTCAGTGTGCATGCGCCTGTCATGCTGTATTGAACTCAAGTAGCACAAAGACAAGTCAACCGCCTGGAGAGTTCCTCCATGATCTGCGCCTACCAAGCTGGGTCGACGCTGGTAATAGGTCGCCAGTTTTGCCGGGCAACATGTCCATGCCATCTCCGACTTACAGTGGTCTTAAGCCCTAGAATTAGCATTGGCAACACGAGCCACTGGCATCACCCATGGTACAACGCCTGATGCTCTTCAAGTATAATTCCGATGGCACGGTTGGCCTCAGGTGCCGAGAAACGCTGAGACCGAGATGCTGAGACCAGTCTTCCTCACGAAATCGGACGAACGCGCACATATAATCACATATATGCACAGTAGTATGTCAGTTGCTAGAAGCAGATGCCAAGGGCAAGTAATAATAGATGTATACAAGTAATAGCCGTTAGCTGTATTTCACAACAACATGATATACAGTTACATGGGCCAAGTGTTTTTCCATTTACAGTAAAGTGTTTGTCATTGGGGCTCGGAACGCATTGAACCCATATATATATATATACATATACTTGAATTGCCGTGAAAGTCTTGAAGTATTCATGAGTAGTGGAACACCAAGCCGTTGATGTGGGCACACATACCAGGTGTAGGCTGGTGGAGGTTAACAAGAGGAAGCCTCGTCACTTTTGGCTTGCTTCAAGCTCCTCGAGGACTCACACCGTTTTCCTGAGGCATAAGCTTGGCTTGGCCCATCCTCGCCCCTGGCATTGCAAGTGACAATTATCGAATTTTGAGACATGACATGAATATAATATAATATGTTATATTGTTATAATAATTGCTTACACCCCTACAAAGGACTCACCTTTGTTGCTACACACCTGGAACACTGAAGTCCGTTTTGGTGCATCAGAACAGCCAAAGCGATAAGAAACTCCTGCACACCACTCTTGTAGAGTCGACGGCTCTATCTTCGCACCTCAGAGTCGGACGGGTCATCCTCAGAACAGCAGGCATCGAGTTCTGAAAGAGTGGGGAGGCCAGAGTCGCTGAACTAGTGTCCAGGCCAGTGTCAACAGGGCCCCCCAAAACGGCATGGCCTGGTTTGGACACCACCACACAGGGCCGAGCACCAAAAATTGCACCGGTAACGCACGCAAAGCATTTTGGCAAACCATTTTGGCTCACCCTCTAAAACGAAACAACTGGAAAGTTGTGAGGCGACTGGTCTGGAACTTTCTGATTGTTTTCTGGCAAAGCTTCCACAAGAAAGGATTAAAACAACACAAGCTTATAGTATATTATATATATAATATTATTGCAATTGCATCCGTTTTATTATAAAGAACACCCCACCGCTCTACTACCCCATTCCATCATGACAAATGCTAAAACAGCCCACGTCAAGCCAAACTCCATCCGACTCATCAATTGTTGAGGCCCCGACTCTCTGTGGCCCAATCAAGCCACCAAGCTCGACCAAACAAGTGCTTTTCACGGCGCGCGTTAGTAGAATACCTGATCCCTCTCCTTATTTGTGCCATCAAACTATATAACCGATTCTTTTCTTGGGGAGAGCTTTGTTTTGTGTGCTTTCTGTCTTGTGATGTTTTGTGCATGGCTCAAAGGTTCTGAAAGGTGTAAACCTTTGTGTGATGTCGACGATGGACGATGATCAATCTCTCGCAGAAACCCCGTGACTCAGTCTCTAATGGACCCACCGGAACAGCTAACGAGCTAGAACCCTCAGACGTCCATGTTCCACCCTCTGCACTGGGTTCGTCAAGCTGGTCTGCAAAATGGCAAGCAGAAAAAGCAAACAAGCAGCATCGAGTAGCCAATAGTTGCACAATGTTGCAAGTGGCAAGTTTCAAATGATTGAGTCCGTTCCATTCCATCATTCACCAATTGGCACACTGACGCACAAGTATTCTCAATCACTTCTGTGATTAAGTGGAGTCAGCTCAATCCGGAACAAAAAAGAAGCTGGAGGAACTAAAAAAACACATCAAAACTCTCATGATTGCTTCCTCTTGCAATGTTCAAATCAACCAAATCTGCTTCACGAGTCCCCCATCGTCCCCGAGGTCTTGGCGATGATTTGGTGCCTGCGCATGTGTCGGATCCCTTCCAAACGGGCCCCAGAAGAATGAGCATTCGAGTTCCACATCCCAGCAACCCCCGGAATGGAATGTGGGTGTGGAATTATTGTCCCCTCTGTTCACACCCCCTCTACTAATGAACCACTGACAGGTTCCAAGCTTTTGGCCCTTTGTATCCCTTTGTTCTGGTTTCGACCTGCTCTTTCAGTCTGATAGTGCACAGTCCTTTGCGTGGCCATTCCTGCCGCGGCCGCGTTCGTCCATCTTGACCACTCCTTTGACCCATGTCCGTCCGACCCGCACGCGCACGGACCAGCCCAAGAGGTCCACGGAGGTCATCTCCGATCTGCGCGGGGCGACCGGGCGAGGAACACGGAGGGGTCGTGTTGGTGTCGCGTGACACGACACACGGAGCTTGCGGGTTGCTATGGCTTGCCTACTCCAGCTCAAGAGCCTTATGAAGCTGCAGCCCCTTCAGCCCTGGGCAAGATGCTGCGAGTCTGGAATGGAATTGAACAGCGGCATGGGGCATAGTGATCAGAACAGTCAATATATATATATATACTGAAAATGTTCAAACTTTCTCGATCTTTCCTGACCAAAAGCTACAGGCAAGATTCAGAAAGATTCAGCATGCATAGTGTCTGAATTTATTTGTTGGAAGGCGACACCGTTCAAGCAAGCCCTGCAACCTTCTTCCCTTTTCTATAGAAGCGTGAGTTCAATATAGAGTCCATGTTGAAAAAGGAAAAGCACTAGAGTCACTAGGAAAGGCACATGTATAAATCAATTATATGTATATATAAGTGTAACTGTGGTAAAAATAGTAATAATGGATCGTTTCCTCCATCGCTCTGGTGGAGCTTTGGCTAGGCTTTGGACATCTGTTGGGCTTTCCATTTCCGCCTTGGAGCATGCTTGCAACATCAAGCACACGTGTGTTTGGAGTAAACCTACCATGACAGTTCTTCCATTTTCTCCCCATTGGTGACAACAATGGGCTCCAACAATTGGCAAGTGACCTTGCACTAACTTTGTCAAGATCATTCAGGCTGCGAGTTCAATCTGCCAAGCATGTCTGGCCGTCTTGTGCCGCCCCGGTGAGTCAATGGTCCCCCCGTTGGAGACGCCTTGAAGCTTCGAGCCGCTCCTGGGGAGGTCGTTGGAGACGCCATCGGCTCACGGACCGAACGGCTTGTGAAGCCATCGGCTACAAGATTGAGGCCTTACAGAAGCCTCTCAAGCCTTGCAACATGAGCCCCGACCAGCAGCCGAATGTTCATGATGCTCGAAAGTGTTCTCAGATCTTCCTGTTGGAAGGATGGGGCATGATAGGCGCAAGGGAGATAAACACTGGAAAAACTAAGAGAAGGTAAGTAGTAGCATGTAGTAGCCGTATTTTGCAGGTCGTCTCACCTTAAGCCGAACAGTACCCGTGCCGTGTCCTGAACTTCTTCTTTGGTAAAGCGTTGGCCCTGCGCCGTCACTTGAGGATTTTTGGAAAGGTGAACATGTGCAAGTTGAGGTCATTAAGTTTGCGCTTCGCCAATTCCAACTCCCTCACCCCACCTTGACTTGCAGCTGGTTTACAACGAAGATGAGCCATGAGGCATATAATATACGACATAGAAAGCCGGTAAGCTGTTCCACGCAGCGCTGCTGCAGAACGACCCAAACATTGACCTGACCCGTTTACAGAAAAGCCCGCCGGAACCCAAAAGTTGGACTGGCCTTCTGAAACAAGAGGTGATTAAACCATGTGTATATCCAATATATATATATACATATACCAGGACACCCGGACCAGGGGCTTCTATTGATAGCTCCTTAGATGTTAAGGGGTGTGTCCATTGACCACCCCTTGTGGGTCCTGGTATATACAGTATATCATGATAATATGTAAAAATCAGAACTCATATGAACGCATCGGCTGTATGCATGTCAATTTGTCTGCCTGACATGTTCATATCGAAAGAGTCTGTGATGCTTCGAGATGCTGCAAGCTCTTCAGGCCGTGCCTCGTTTTGCCAGCCCACCTGGGAGTGGTGGTCAGTTGTAGTGCTTCGCTAAACCAAGGCTACACGGAGGCCACTCAGAAGCTACATGGACTGTCAGGTTGCCTGGGCGAACTGTAGCAAAAGCCAAAGGCTAGGTGAAGGCTAAGAGGGGGACGGTGACCGGTGTCTTGTGATCCTTCACTTTTACGGACGGATTGAAACGGCGAGCCCGGTGAGGTCGCCTTCTAGAGAGTTTCTGCCAACAGACTAACATTCCAGAAATTAAACGAAAAAAACCATCCAGTGGCATCCAGCGATTTAGCTCACAAAATATCCCAATGCATTGCTGTGAGGGGACTGGAACCCTGCAAGATGAATTGTAAGTTTCCTCTTCTGCTGCCCATGGCCAGGCCAAAAGCACAAAACATCACAAACCCATTCTTGATTATTGTCCATCTCATTTTCACTTGGCTGCCACGCCATGGGGCCACAAGGCATACCCAGCAACTTTGTGCTGCGGAACTCCTGATTGACCACAGCAGCAGATCCAAAAGCAATGCGCGAGATGGAGGGAACTGACCACTGATGGCAATCAGTGACTCTGTGAGCCAGCCAGGAATTTGGAATGTCAACTGAATCTCACTCCTCAATGCAAAAGCGCATAAACCCCAACATGAGAGACGTTGGCGATGGAACAGTGGGAAACCCCGGCCTGTCTCATGCGGTTTCATGTCTGAATCGGAATGGCCCAATGGCCCAATGACCGCTGGCCATGTCACCCGGCCTTTCGTGCTGAGAGCAAGGCAGCCCGAATGGCCTGGACGTGAAGTGGGGTCATCATCATCAAAGGCTCATCAATCCCAAATTGAAGGACACACCCAACGCCATGCCCCGCCCAAACCACGCCACCTGGTTTTGATATGCAGGCATGGCGGTGGTGTACAGCTCTTCCTGCACGGCCCGTTTCAAGCCAATCCCACACAGCTGAAAGCATGCGGGTCGCAAGCATTGCGCCTCCTGACCATAGAAGAGGTCCATGAGGGTGACCTGAGCAAGAACCAAAAACCCCAGGCTAAATTGGCCTACCCTAAGCTCAATCTATGCTAGTACATGCTGGCCGCCTCTTGTGGTTGCCTACCCCCAAACACCAGAATTGGGACGTTTCCAGAAATGGTCTTCACTTTTTCAGTCGTTAGTCAGTCGGTGCCCGTGGGAGTGACAGGGCGGTCGGCAAAACTGAGGAACCGGGAATTGAATGCTAAGGTTTAGGGCCTAGGGCCTAGGGCAGGTGTCATTCTTGACATTATATAGTGTCGTTTTCGAGGGTACCCTCTAGATTCTAGATGTGAAGAAGCAATTCACCTGAACTGTGCACGGCATTGGGACTCGCTGAACACTGTTCGCTCCGCTGGGTACCAGTCTTCTTACCATGCACTCGGCTCTGAATGTTTGTGTGAGGTTTGGCATGAGGTCTGACATTCCCACTGCCCACTCACATCTCACCTACAGCAATTCTTGACGCTCAAAGTAAAGGTGCAACTGCTTTGCAAAGGCATCTGCTCTTACAACCCCCCGGGTATTCTTTGGAAGTGTGCTTAGGATCGTTCCAAGCTTTGGGACCGTCAATGATCAAAATGCGTTTACTTGACAGTGATGGGTACGTATCGTGTTGTTCTTCGATGCATCCAAATGTTCCGTTATACAATTAGGTTCTTAACACCTATCAAGCACGCTCCAGTGACAGCCCCCTTGGCTTTCAATCCCCCAGCCCATTCGGTGCCCTGCCTTCGTGCAGGCTGCAGTACCCGCCCCGGTGCCGCAGGAAGCGGTGCTCCCGTTGGCGTTGCCGAAACGACCGTGCTCACGTCGCCTCGGCGCACCACGTGCGGCAGGACGAAACGGTCCGTCCGGCAGGACTCGCCGGCGTTCCACGCAGCACGAAACGTGGGAGGCACAAAATCCAGGAGGCAAACCAGGTGCCGCTGGGATCCAACCCAGAACCAGTATCTGAGTCACCTCAGATACAGAAACATGCCGAAGTTGCCAAAGTGCAACACTTGAAGCGCAAGAAGTTGGCAGGAACAAAGGGTTAAAGCAAACCAACATACTGTAACAAAACTTTGGCCCTTGGCCAAACAACATAGCAAAAGAAACGCTCAAGCGCAGTTTACATGCCTCTGGCGATAGTATATATATATATATCAAACATGACTCAACATGACTCAACACTTCATCGCAATGAATAACCCGTCTGTGGATCATTTGGGGTCAAAAAGGATTGGAAGGCGCCCTTCACATTTTTCTGTACTTCACTAAGCACAGCTTTGCATCGCTCTGTGCAGCATGCCGATGCGTGAGACGTTCCCAAGACGAGGGCATCAACTAAGCAACTGCAAGGCCTCAAGAAGACATTTCCTGGCCGTTGGTACGTCACCAAAATCCAGGGCTGAAGATGCCATCTCTGTCTTCTTTTGGGCTTCCTCTCTTGCTCCAGCGGCCCTGGGCATGCTTGGCGCTGAGCTTGCGGCTGCAGCAACTGATGCTGCAGGAGCAGAGCCCAGTCCAGGAGCTACAGCTGGTGTGGGGGCGCCTTCCAGCCCTGCAGGATAAGAAGGCACCCCTTGTTTCAGGCCCTCGCGGATCTTCACCACGCGAAAGCGAGCGTAACGCGCCTTTTCAGCCAAGTCTGGTGGCAGCTCACCATCATAGAACTGAGCACAAACATCAAGGAAGAGTGCTGAGGCATAGAACTTTTGGATCACCGCGGCCTGGCTGCTACTATCTACAGCCGCACGGTCTGCAGCGTCTGCTGCGTCGAAGACCCGGAGAGCAAAGGCCTCAGTGGTCGTTTGACCATCCGCGCTTGACTGTAGGTTCAAGGACTTCTTGGACTCTTCGGCAATTTGAAGTTCGGCCAGAAGCTGGTTCTGAAGGTCGGGAGCTGCATCCCCTTTCCTGCTTGCGTGGATCATCATCTCAATGGCATGTAAGCGGCAAAAGTGGGCCACCACTGGTTGATGTGCCGCCAGCTCTGTCGCTCATTGTAGGTAGGGCCGCCATTTAGCTTGAGCTGCCATGGCACCCCCCAAAAAAGAAACTTTGTGGATGACGCGGACACTTGTTGACAAATGTTTAATCCAATGCCATATTTATGGTTGCCCTGACAGCTATATTGTGCAAATGTTTGCTGGTGGTCTGGCTCTACACATGAAAATTAAGCTCGTGATGCAAAACAAAGGCAATCAGTACACTCAGTTTCTGCGTTTCGAGCATGCGTTTCCGTTCTCGAAAGCTTTGCACGACATTCCATGCCAACTAGGCTATTGCAACCGTAGGCTGCTATGGAGAAGAATCAGGTTGCTCAAGATTTCTCAGACCTAGAACAACTCACCCCTGCCCCTTTGAGAGTGTGACCACATCAAAGTAGCCTCACATGTTTTGGTCTTAAGATCTGCGACCTGTTCTGCACCAAGTGGCCATTCAAGAAATGATAGATGAGGATCTTGTCCAAGTCCCCCATCCTTAAACACACAGCTAAACAGTCATCTGAAATGCACAGTCCTTCCACAATTGCCACAGTCAGTGCAAAGGGCGGTTTAAACCATAGGGAGCGTCATGGGGCGTCTGTGGAATCGCATGTTGACATCTTTGTGTATAGCCTGTAGCTGTGTTCAATTGCTTTCATGCATTTGCATGAGAGGAGCAACAAAAGCCGCCTTTCTCAGCCGTCTCCCAAAGATGAGAATCTGGCCATCCATTTCCTTCAAATATGTCAGGTGTGACAAACTGGTTGATGGGATCCAATGTATCCTTGGTGGGGTTCATCAAAGCAGGGCATTTTCCTCAAACGGAAAGCTAGACAAACGTGAAGACACCAGTCTCAGGTCGTCAAAATTTGTTTCCTTCTGCATGCATTTTCCCTCAAGAGCCATTGAAGTCCCAATGCCATGTATTTCACAGACGGATCTCACAAGTCCAGGACGGATCTCGTCGTGTTCGTGTCGCGACCCAGCTGGGTCGCGGGGCCCATGAGGGGATGGGCGGAAGGTCCAGCGGATCCTGGCAGGCGCCAGAGGATGGACCGTATTTTGTTCCGCATGTTCCACTGTTCCACCTTGGAAGACTTCTTCCATGCGGATCCTGGTGGATCATGCTGGGTCAAATGGCAAGGTTGGAAAGGTGTCTCTATTCTACCTTGGGGCAGCGCTTCTCTTTTGAAACCTCGTTTGCGCAAGCAACATTCCAAGAATCCGTCCTGGGTAACCTGCTCTGTGTAGTTCAAGAATGCGCTGAAAGTCCTTGGAAAGCTACTGGTAGCCGTGTGACCGTGCGTCAGCCACAGCACCCCTTTCGCAATGACCGGCCCGATCAAGCTATGCGATCCTAGCCTGTCTGCATGGGAAAGATCATGATGTGGACGTGGAAACGAAAGGCCAAGGGCAAATGGAAAAGGGAATATTAAACCATGTAAACATCAAATAAACCCACCCACAAACACAGGAACCGAAATCCTACTCCAACACAAAGAACAAAACTAATACAGCATAATTCCTCGCATACTCTGAGAGCCACACTTTTGATCATGTTCATATGGATGGTGGTACATCCACACCTTGGGCGAATTGCACAAGATTGAACCCTTGGACCCGGCAATCATTTCAAGGGCCCATACAAGTAAGAATAAGTAAGACACATCTCAGTAGTCACTCGGGGCTTCGGCAATCACAGCCAGCAGCCAATTGGAGACGGTTGCGGTGGAACGGAAGTAAACCTGGGTCAATGGGCGTCACGATGCCTGGGTTTAGCGATGCCAGGAGCCCCTAGTAGCGTCCTTGCTCCTAGTAGCGAT